AACACGATAATTTTTTGAGAATATTCTTACAAATGAAAAATAGCCTAAAAATATCACTTTTAATTACAAAATTATTAATTTCCCAACATATATATGTTAGGTATGTTATTATACGTAATATAAGCCACAATTTAAGGTAAAATTCAACCACAAACGCTTCGCAAAACGTTTTAAAGTCGCTAGTGTTCTTTATAAAACTAAACTGCCTATTATTATTAAAATGGCTTTATCGATAAACTTTGAGTTTGCAGTAAAACGACTTCAAATTCTCGCTTGCAAATAACTTTGCTTTCTTTTTTATTTAAAAAGTTCAATATCATAAAAAAGGGAATCAATATTAAAGATACACTGAAATTATATGTTGTCTTGTTTAGTTGTTTCATATACGCAAAGGCCGTCGGGTTTTAAAGCCAGTATAAAATCAATATTTAAAACAAACTTATCTTCGTTAACGTCGGCTACCTTCTTTTAGCCGATTCTTTCTGAGAGAGCTTTTGAAATTTACAAAATCTTCCAATAATGCGAGTAAAAATGAAATATACTTGCAAGAAATTTATCAATCATCAAATTAAGAAATGTTTGCTATTACGCTGTCGTGATGCAGTCGTGCCAGTCGTTCTAATGCAAACTTTAAATTGGACCAATCAGTGTCCGCTTTTCATGACAGTCCGCCATATTTTTGAGATCAGTGAGGATGACCACCCATGGTTGGTGACCCAGGCCCGCGATATTTGATGAACTTTAGACTCCGCTAATGCTTTCGTTTCTCCGGGTGTAAATAGCCGGGGGGGGGGGGATTAGTACCCTCGCACGGCGCTTCGCGCCGTCGGCTCGGGGATTAGACAGTATAGTCTTTTAAATATAAAATGCTTGAAGAATTAAGTTCAAGAAACTTGAAGAAGGAATATCTTCAAAGAACTGCCAACATTTCACATGTTGTATTTTATTCTCCTGTAACATGACGGTTGTAAAAGTAGTTTCAAATTGAGTTGCAAATCTATTTATTTGATTTTTTGCTAATCTATTTATTTTTTACCCTTTCAGGACCCTCTTCCATGACCATGGAGTCTCTTGGAGTTGAAACGACCCTTTCGAGGTGTAGAAACTATACCCTCTTTCCAAAGAGACGGAAATGACCCCTAGGGTTAAAAAAAGATCAAATCTACTCTTCTTAATTCACAGTGTGGGCCAGTTGCAATTACAATTCACTATGACATGAATTACGTGTATGAAATTACTTTAATTGTCATATGTGAAATGTATAATTTCATAATATGTGAAATATAGGCTATGACTTGATTTTCAGATGTGAAAATTCACATAGGAAATTACCAAAATTCACATATGAAATGGATTTCATAGATGAAATTTCTTTTTTCATATGTAAATTGTATAACTTCATATATGACTTGATTTTCACATATGAAAATTCTTATATGAAATTACCAACTTTCACATGTGAAATGGATTTCATATATGAAATTTAGTTTTTCATATGTGAATTGTATAACTTCATATGGGACTTGAATTTCATATATGAAAATTCTTATATGAATTACCAACTTTCACATGTGAAATGGATTTCATATATGAAATTTAGTTTTCCATATGTGAATTGTATAACCTCATATATGACTTGATTTTCATATATGAAAATTCTTATATGAAATTACCAACTTTCACATGTGAAATGGATTTCATATATGAAATTTAGTTTTGCATATGTGAATTGTATAACTTCATGTATGACTTGATTTTCATATATGAAAATTCTTATATGAAATTACCAACTTTCACATGTGAAATGGATTTCATATATGAAATTTCTTTTTTCATATATGAATTGTATAACTTCATATATAACTTGATTTTCATATATGAAGGATTCTTATATGAAATTACCAAATTTACATGTGAAATGGATTTCATATATGAAATTTAGTTTTCCATATGTGAATTGTATAACTTCATATATGACTTGATTTTCATATATGAAAATTCTTATATGAAATGACCAAATTGCAGTGTGAAATGGATTTCATATATGAAATTTAGTTTTGCATATGTGAATTGTATAACTTCATGTATGACTTGATTTTCATATATGAAAATTCTTATATGAAATTACCAACTTTCACATGTGAAATGGATTTCATATATGAAATTTCTTTTTTCATATGTGAATTGTATAACTTCATATATGACTTGATTTTCATATATGAAGATTCTTATATGAAATTACCAAATTTCACATGTGAAATGGATTTCATATATAAAATTTATTTTTTCATATGTGAATTGTATAACTTCATATATGACTTGATTTTCATATATGAAAATTCTTAAATGAAATTACCAAATTTCAGTGTGAAATGGATTTCATATATGAAATTTAGTTTTTCATATGTGAATTGTATAACTTCATATATGACTTGATTTTCATATATGAAAATTCTTATATGAAATTACCAAATTTTACATGTGAAATGGATTTCATATATGAAATTTAGTTTTTCATATATGAAATTAAAATTTCATATATGACCTGCTTTTCATATATGGAAATTTAATATGTGAAAAAGAGAATTTCACATATGAAACTGAAATTTCATATATGAAATTACCTTTTCACATGTGAAATTCTAATTTCATATATGAAAATCTTCATTTCATATATGAAAATCTTCATTTCATATAAGAAATTCCAATTTTATATATGAACTTTAATGTGAAATTTTATATATATATATATATATATATATATATATATATATATATATATATATATATATATATATATATATATATATATATCTATATCTATCTATCTATCTATCTATCTATCTATCTATCTATCTATCTATCTATTTAATAGACATATTTCAACATTGTCATGCTTTGGATATATATAATCTCAGAAGGTCTAAAATAACCTTCGAACTTCCAAAAAATCGAACACTGTATTACAATTCAAGTTTTGCCTTCACTGGTGCTAAATTATGGAATTCTCTTCCGGATGAGATAAAAGACGCACCATCACTTAAAATATTTGTAAAAA